AGGGGCAGGGGTAGGGGTGGGTAGGGGCAGGGGTCGGGGTAGAGGTAGGGGTAGGGTAGGGCCTCCGAAAGGCCCTTGGTCCGCACTCGGACTGGGCTCATCCACACTCGGTGGAACGTCCCTTTCTGACCTGGGACCTGGAAGGTGATTCTCTCTGAAAACACTGACGAGGCTGCCGACCTCCGGGAATGGTGACGGTGTCGTCTGTGGGTTTCTTACTGCCCTGGCTTGGTTGCCCCTACACTTGGGCTCGTTTCTGCAAACTGGAGGGACTGCCTAGATTTCTCTCATGTTTCTCTTCATTAGATGCTTTTAACTTTGTTATTTCTACATTTAGCGTTTTCTTTCCGCTATCTCTCCCGTTTGCAGGAAGTTTTTCTTAACATATCGTGACACACGTCCCCACGGTCTAGAATTTGTAACCCTCACCCTTGTTAGTGACTCAGAGGGGGTAAGCACGGCTTAGCTGCTGGGCCCTGGGAGCCGCACCAAGAGGGTGAGAACGGTTGGGTCAAGCCCTGGGAGGCTGGGAAGCGCCGTATTTCAACCTTGGTCCAGGGGATGGACGCCCCATCGTGCACAGCCCCTCACAGACGTTCACAGCAACACTTTGTCGTGCTGACTCCTTATGACACGGGAAGTCTCACCGTGGGAAAGGAACACAAAAAGCAAGGTGACATCACTTACTGTCCGCTACAATCCGGCCTTCGTGCCGGCACGTGGGGAGCTGGAAGTCCTGGTGTAACCTTGGGCGCTGGCCATTCACCCTTCACCCGCCGGCTGGGCAGAGGCCAGAGCTGGGGCGGGGGGCTCTCTGTCCAGGCCCCGCACCAGGGTTCCGGGGCACATTCTCAAACACTTCTCACCAGCGAGTTCAAAGCAGAGAAGACAGAGGAGAGAAGGGAGGAGGCCCTCGTGCCATAGGCGATCGTCCCGGGAGAGCCAGGGACGCAGCCGAGCAGCTGTGGGCAGAGGGGAAAGGGCTGTCTGCTGAGACCCTCTGCGATGAGCCGCCGCCCGTGTCTGGTCAGGGTGGACCTGCGGACCTCCCATCCCTTGAGGGGGCCTGGGCTCCGGGCAGCCGTGCCCTCTGGCACACTTCCCCACCGGCATCAGCCGCAGCGGACAGGATCCGGGCTCAGCCGTCTCACCGGCACCCTGGCAACCCCTTAGCCTCGAGGGAATTCGTTCAGCCCTTGCCGTGGGGACACTCGGAGATTCCACCCCGTCTCTCACAGTCCGTCCTGAGGTGGCCTTTGCTCCTGGTATTGGGACCAGGGTGGTCTTTGGGCCCGAAGTTCGAAGCTAGGCCCCTCTGCCTACGTTCTCATCTCCGAGGGTCTGATGGATTAGGGAGACCCCTTCGGGCAGGGAGGGGCGGGGCACCCCCAGCAACAGGGGCGAGGGTCCGGCCTCTGCCTTTTAAGCCTGGTCAGCCCGTCCTCCTCCCTCAGACACTCGACAGCATGCCGCCCCTGGGTCAGGAAACAGCCAATGTCACCAATCACGGAGGACACTTCCCTAGCCTTCCAAAATAAATAAATAAAATAATAATAATAATAATCAAAAAAAAAAACAAACAAACTAAGACAAGACAACAAACTATCAGGATGGCTTGCATCCCCTCTGGGTCTGGGCTCTGACTATGGACACTGGCTGGGACAGGTGTCCCCGGAGGTCTCTAGCCCTTTGCCCGACACGTCCCAGCTCAGCTCGCAGCCCATGGGGCCTTTCCCACGGACCTTCGGCTCAGGGCACACTCCTCAGTGCTGTCTGCGTGTCAGCAGATGTCTAGCAGGGTCAGGCGCGCGTGGCCTGTTGTCTCTAGGATAACCTTCAAGGGCGTCTCTGGAAGGTACGAGGGTTCCTTAAGTGAGGGTGTCTCACTTTCAAAGGCTCTGAGCTGAGTAGCCAGAGATCAGTTCCGAACCAGCCCGTCTTATCCTGATGTGCGTCCGGGAGCCACACATCCTCTACGCACAGAACCCTGAACCTCCAAGTTGGAGGCACTGCGCTTATCATCCACTGCTCGTGCCAGGCCTTCCTACAAACACCTGCTGAGTTTTGAGTTTTCGGGAGATGACCGAAACTCTGTGTTTGGAGATGGTCAAGATCGTACACACAAATGCAATGCGAGAGGGAAAACACACACGAGATTCAGAGAACGTGAAGACTCGGTCTTGTGGAGCCCACGGAGGGCTCAGGAAGTTACAGAATTCTGTGTGGGCCCGGGAGGGCAGGAATGCTTTGGAAGGAGAGACGCAAGGGGGAGGCCTGGCCCGTCCGGAGGTGGAGGAGAGAAGAGGAGGGTGTGAGGTAGGTGGTGGGTCCACGAGGCCACGGAGGAGGAGGTGAGCCCACTGGAGGGGAACCGCGGGGCCAGTGAAACGGGCTCAACTTGTACTGAATGAGGGAGGGGGGGCAGGGTTTGGCAGGAATTTCATGGAGAGACCCAGGAATGGGTGAACGATTCCTTGAATTATTGATAGATTTTCTTCACTTGACAAACAGTCACGAGGTGCCTGTTAATACCGTATCGCAGCACAGTAAGCTCAAGGTTCAGTGGGGGGAGATGCTGAGACAACAGTACGGCAGGATGGAAGTTGCTTGGCCAGTGAGGACGGCCCGCCTGAGCTGGGTGCACGGGTGTGGGGGCTGGAAGGTTCTCAGGGTCAAGGAAGCCTGTGAGCAAAGGTCCAGAGCGAAGTGTCCGGAGAGGAGCCCGGCAGCCCCCGTGGGCCTCGGGGCTGGACTGCACTCGCCTCGTTGAAGGGGGTGTGTGTGTGAGGGATTTACACAGATGACAGGACTTTGTTAAAGGCCCGGAGGAGTGCGGGGCTGGCGTGCGGGCTGGGGCCAGAGGGACACCGTCCACAGGGAAGCAGGAGGTGTAGGAACGTGCAGAAGACTGCCTCCCGGGACTGAGGATGCCCGACGGCACCGCGGGGTGAAGGGGGAGGGAAGAGCCCAGGGACGCTGTCAGGGGGGCCGGGCGTGCTGAGCTTCAGGGAGAAGGAAGACGCCTCAGGAGGCGGCAGAGGCAGCGTTGGGGGGGGGTTAAAGACCACGAGGGTGGGGGCAGGCTGCGGCGGACGCGGGCTCCGAACGGACGGGGTGCGGGGCAGGCGCCAGATGCACCCACAGGCCGGGTCTACCGCGTCGTCAGCCTCCGCGTGGTAACCCCCTGCACTAGCTCCCCGACCCGACGTCCGCGGTGCGTGCGAGCTGCCAGTGCTCAGAACAGAAGCACCTGAGTGGGAGACACGTCTGCACTGCATTTATTTAGAAACTCATAGTCTGTAAACTTCGAGGGACAGTGACTCTCATCTGGCTTTGTCGCTCACTGACCTGGGGGTGTCTGCGGACTTGCCTGCGCTTCGGGTTACCCGTGGGTACGACTATAGCGTCACACGCACTGTCGTCACATCCTTCCGATTCTTAGGGACAGCAGCGCCCGTGGGCACAACAGCAGGTGGGAGCTGGGGGCTCTATCTACCCAAGCCCGGTGCCGCTGGCCGACGACGTCTCCCTTGCGTCTGGCGTTGAGGGATTGGATTCCTTCGCCCACACTCTCCATCCCCACCGGAGACACGGTGGGCTGCAAACTTGTCAGAAGAGAAAAAAACCATACAGAAGCAGGTAACTATGTGATGTGCTCAGGACGGCTGGAAACCGCTGACGCCGCTGGGAAGAATCATCTAGAAGCCCAGAGGCACGCGGGCGTGCGTCCCCGTCACATGGCCGTCTCCATAACCGCCTCCTCCGCTGGCTTTTTCTGTTCTGTGGCAGCTGGCCTGGCCAGGCTCTGGGCCTCCAGATACTCCACCGTCCCGTACGCCACCATGGCCAGGCTCAGGACGCCCAGGAGGATGTAGAGCTTGACGTTGACACACAGGAACGTGCTGTACCCAAATGCGACGGTGAAGCCCAGGGCCTCCCACAGGCGGTAGTTCGAGAAGGCGGCCTCCTTGTCCTTCTCGAACAGCACGCCGTAAAGCACTGTGGGGAGACACGGCATGAACACGTGGTTGTGAAACCTGAAAGTTTCCCATTATTGCTGAAAACAGGACAGCTTTCCTGCTGCCCAATTCTGTCAACAACATCAGGAACGTTTCCTTCTCAAAAAGACAGAATTGCGTTACGTTGGGGATTAGGGAAGTCTGGAGACAGTCTTTAGCTGTGAAGAACCAGGGCACATAAGAGAAATGCAGAACTTGTGCAGGGGGAGCCCTGGGGGGAGCCCCGTCCAGCCTGTCCCTCGGTGGGTGAGTACGCAGGAGAGTAAAGTAGGGCTCAGAGGCCCAACCTGGGTCAATGAGGCATGGCCCTTCACTGGAGTCTAAAAGCAAAGACACACGGGCAGCCCGAACACCAGGACCTCAGAACGTGACTGTGTTTGGAGCCAGGGCCTATAAAGAGGTGATGAAGGTAAACGAGGTCACTAGAGAGAGCCGTCATCCCACCACTAGTGTCCTTATAGGGACAGGGGTCAGGACACAGATGTGCACATAGGGACGACCATGTGGGGACACATGGAGAAGACGCAGTCTGCACAACAAGGGGAGACGCCTCAGCAGGGGCCAGCCTGCCCGCACCCGGCTCTCCGACCTCCAGCCTCCAGAACTGTAAGAAACAAAACATCTGCTGTGTAAGCCGTCCACCCGTTGCGCTCTGTGGACAGCCCGAGCAGGAGACCGTAGTCTGATAAGTGCTTCCAGAGGAAGGTCAATTACTGCTGTTCCAGTTTGCAGGATGGGAAAATGGTGGAGGTTCCTGGATGAGACCAGAAGCCCCTCTCCCGACCTGAGTAGGGTGGCTGATGGACGCTGAAAGCGCTCAGCGGAGACGTGCCCTTCCTACAGGATGGGCGGTGGTGGCAGGGAGGGCCCTAATGGACGTCAGTGCACAGTCCTTTGCCAGCTCTCTTCCTGTTCTTGCCTCTGCCCATTTCCTCCTCCCCACATTTCGCAGGGGAGGGACATAGGGAGGAGAAGCCTCTCCAGCCCTGGTTTGAGGCCAGCAGCGAGGTCTCCTACAATCCTGCCTGGAAATGTCAACGCCGACAAGGCCCTTGTTGGCATTTGGTTACTCAGCTGTTCACCTACCATGGGAGGAACCAGGAGGATGAGGCCATCAGAGAGACACAAGATCGGATATACATCATAAATGACTTCATGCACTTGGAAAACAAGAGGCCGTTTGGAAGGCTCAGAAGAAGGGGCTCTTCTTGTCCGAGACTGCGATGTGCCCGTTCTCACGAAAGCACACCCACGAGGGTCTAGTAACAGAATCTGGGATTTAGTGACTCCTAAGCTTATTTTAAAGTTTCTTATTTGTCTTTGTACAGACGGCCAGCAGGTACAGGAAAGATGTCCACCAGCTGGAAATGCCAATCAGAACCACAGTGAGACGCCACCTCACTCCTGCCAGAATGGCTAAAACCAACACCGCAGGAAACCACAGGCGTTGGCGAGGATGCGGAGAGAGCGAATGCTCCTGCACTGCTGGTGGGAATGCAGACGGGTGCAGACGCTCTGGAGAGCAGGGTGGAGGTTCTTCTAGACGTTAAAAATAGAGCTGCCCTATGGCCCAGAAATTGCACTACTGGGTATTTATCCAAAGATACAGAAATACTAAGGGTACATGCGCCCCTATGTTTATAGCAACATTATTTACAATCGCCCAGTTACAGTAGCAGTCAGCATCCAGCGACTGCTGCATGGGTGAAGACGATGTGGGTGTTTATACGCAACGGAATGTTATTCGGCCACAAGAAGGAATGAAACCTCACCATTTTTGGGGGGAAGGGGCAGATGAGGATGGGGAGAGAGACTCTCAAGCAGGCCCCACACCCAGTGCAGAGCCCCTTGCGGGGCTTGATCTCACGACCTTGAGATCACGACCTGAGCCAAAATCAAGGGTTGGATGGTTAGGCAGTGGTATATGGGGACATTCTGTACAGTCTTTGCGACTTTTCTGTAAACTCAAATTATTCTAAAATAAAAAGTTTATTTAAAAGAAAAAAAGCCTTGCTCCTGCCTCGTCCTCCCCAGGAAGGCACGGGTGGGAGTGACCAGAAGCTGACCTCTGACCACGTGTGAGGGTGTGGACGTGCCATCGGGCCGTCCTGTTTGCTTGGAGAAGATGGGCCGGTGACCTGAGGCTGTAACGGGGTCACGTTTTCTGTGTTAATCAACACAGACAGCCCTCTGGCCGCTTATGCCGCAGAAGCGTATTTTTAGACCAGAAATTCTGAATCTCAAACACCGGGCAGCGGAGGGAGGGGTTCAAACACCGGGCAGCGGAGGGAGGGGTTGCTATGGCAACGGTGCCGTCTTTGCTGAACCGTTGGAACAAATGAATAGATGGGGGTCCGCGGCCCAGATCGGCAGCCCCGAAGGCTGCAGGAGCCCTGGAGCCCCGTGGGAGCGCTCGGGCCTCTGGTCGGCCTCTGAGTCAGGTTTTAAACAGAGAAGCCGTGGCGGAGAGGAGGGCTAAGTTGCATGGAACCGAGTTCAGGCTCAAGAATTAGGAAAGGGCAGGACTCGCCTCGCCTATCCTCCCAGACCAGAGACACGCGTTCGGGGAGACTGAGGGGAGACACCAACCTGCTGTTTAGGAAACCAAAACCAACAGAGCGCTCTCGTGGGGCGCGGCAGAGGGCGCACACTAGGACCTGGGGACGGGCGCTGCAGGGACGCGTGTCCGCGGGGAGCCCGGCGCGGTCAGCACGTGCGGGACTCAGGGATGAAAGTGCCCATCCCCGCGAGGAGGACTGAGAGCTCAGACTCCGGAAGAAATCCTCAAGCAACGACAAGAACAATTTTCCCCAATAGCCGATGTGTCCTTGAAAAAAATGACTTTTTGTCTGCACGAAAAGACAGAAATAACTCCTTTCACATCTGTGCCCCTATTCCAGGGGGTCTGGCTTCAGGCCACCCGCTGTGCTGGACCATCCCAGGCTTCGCCGGGCCTCACCGAACCCCGTCTGCACAACCTTGACAAGGCTCGACCTGCCAGGCTCTTCCGTCCTCGGCAAGAAAAGGACGGTGAAAGACGTCACCATTCCTGTGTCTCCGGGAAAAGAAAGCCAAGCATTTCCACGGCAGTCGTCCGGAACATGTAGAGGATTATGCCTGGGGTGTTCTGGGACCCCCTCCCCCCGTCCCCTGCCTGACATGTAACGTGTAAACACTTGAAAAGCTCCCGTGAGCTTGGAGGCATCGCCTGACACTGTGGGAGGCAGGACAGCGTGCGTGTGCGCTCGGGAACGCCCTGCGGCTCTCACACCTGCACGCGGAGGCCCAGAGAAATTCTCTCCTGATGTTCCCGGAGGACGTGGCCTGACCCGGCTCACAGTTCTGGGCTGCCCAAAAAGTAAGGGTGTTTCCATCTTCCATTCCTCACGGAATCAGCACGTCTCTGCAGGGACCCTCCAGCCCAGCCTGTGACAGTGTCCGTCCCTGCTGCAACCGCGTCCGATCACGGCCCGGAGTTCACACGCGCTTGTCAGTGGCTTCGGGAGTTTAGCAAAGACACCTGCACCCACGGGGCCGTTGGGAGGCCGGGAAGTCTGGACCCCTGACTCCCGCAGCACCGGATTTGTACAAAGACGTTTTTCCAGCTGTTCTGTGAGCCGGCCACAACGCAGCTCGCAAGGAAGGGGCCACCGTGGGGACACCGAGGCCACGGTGACCGAGGTCCTGTGTGCTCCTCCCTGGAGGCAGGGGCAGCGGCCAGGCCCCTGCCCTTGTGTTGTCTGTGGATTGGCCTGACCCACTTTCTAGACCCCACGCGTTTCCCGGCTTGGGGCCGGGCAGTGATGTCACCAGGGGAAGAGGCTCTCCTCGGAGCCAAATCCCTGGGCCCGGCACCGGCTGCCCGTCCAGGCTGGAGATGGGCCTGTGAGAAATGCGGGCTCTTACTTTCACTCACCTCCCAGAATGGAAGCCCTCAGCCACCGGCCTTACACGCATGCTGCCGCACCCCTGCGCCCTGCCTCTCTTCGTGGCGTCTCCGACACCCCTCAGCCACGGCTCATCTCACCACGGAGAGCAAGACCCACGGCTGACACAGGCACCCCCCAGACACCCCACCCACACGGCTGCTGCTGCTGCCCACATCAGCCCCTGCTCCGATGGCCGCTGGGCCTTCCAGTCTCCCGCTGGTGTGCCTGGACCCACCGCTGCTGTGTGGTGACCATGACGTCCCTCCCGCAGGCGGCCCTCCACGCACAGCTCCCTGCCCAGAGCCTGAGCGGTGAGCCCTACACACAACCACGTCTTAGAGCTGCGTCCCCCAGCACCGTCCTCTCTCTGCTCTGCTTGTCTGCCCTTCATACCCCATCCTGGGATGCCGCACCCGAGGCCACATGCGTCCCCCTCCCCCGAGCTGGCCCTGTCACTTCCTGCTCCACCCACTTCCCCTCTCCTCCTGCTCCGCGCCACGTCCCCCTCGATGCCGCTCTGTTTGTCTTCCCCAAGTGAACGCAGCAGCTCCCTGTCCCCCCATAACCCGAAGGGGCTGACCTTGCCGTTTCCCACCTGGACCCTTTCTGTTAATTGTCCCAACGGGGAGCAAATCGAGACCCCTCCCCAGGCAGCCTGGGCCTCCATCAGGCCCCCAGCCTCTCCATCTCACCCCCAGCACCTGGCCCAGCCTGTCCCCTCCGCATGTCCCATCTGCTATGGCCAGAACACTTGTGTCCCCCAAATTCATACGGTGAACCCTAACCCCAAGGTGTCCGTGTTAGGAGGTGTGGCCTCTGGGGGGCGACGAGGTCTTAAGGGGGAGCCCTTACGAGTTGGATTTGTGTCCTTGTAAGTCTCCAGAGAGCTCCCGTGTCCCTCCCGCCAAGTGAGGAACAGTGAGAGAGGAGAAGGCGTCTCCACAAGCCAGGAAGTGGCCTCTGGCGACCCAGACTCTGCGCCGCGGTCTCAGACTTGCAGCCCTCCTCCCAGCTCCCCGGCCTCCCATCTGCAGCCCGGCCCCAGGACAGTCAGCCAGGCCCTGACTCAGGCTTGACCTCCAGACAAGCCGCACTGACCGGCCCTCAGTTCCCCAAAGACTGCGGCCCGGTCCCAGCGCCCCTCCTGGCAGCTATCACAGTGACCTGCCCGTCTTCCGCTCAGCTTTCTCCCCGTCGGGGCCGAGGGTGCCTGGAGGCCTCTCCAGCCCCATGGCTCCAGCACCCAGCACTGCCGTGTCACTGCACAGGGGCGCTCTCCAGACGGAGAGCCACGAGGGGACCGCCATTCTTAGGGAAGAAAGCTGTCCCGTGGGTCATTTCCCTCTTTCACGTCCTGGGCCTGAATAGATGCTCCAGTCCAGGCCGGCGCCCAGAGCACCCTTGGTCCCGTTTGCCTCCTGCTCTAGGCTCGCTGCAGGTGCCGCCTCCCCAGGGGGCCCTGGGAGGGTGGGTCCCCCGCCTGCCACGTGTCCCCCACGCTGGCCCAGGTACGGACCCCCGGGGGGAGACTCACCATTGTTCTGTGTCTGCCAGACGGCGTCGGCCACGCCCCAAAGCCCAGAGAAGACGAAGAACACGGCCAGCTGGCGGGGGTCAGGTCTCCACAGCAAGAGGGCAACGATGCAGGACAGGTGGGTCACCGCACCTGCGGGCGCAGAGGGCGGACACCGGCAGGAAGTGAGCGTAGCCCCGGGGAGGTGCGGACCAGGCAATGCTCAAGGAGCCTCTTGTTCGCTTCAACGTGTAAGTAATGTTCCCAGAAACGCTCCCAACCGCCCTCCGCCGCTGGAGGCTGACACCGAGCGCGCCGGCAGACCCGGGAGTGCGCCCTTCACAGCCCCTCGCCGCTGCGCGCCGGGTGGGGGGGCCGCTCTGCCCACCTTCGCCCCAACCCCGGCAGCGGGGCTGGGCCATGAGCCCCTGGACCTTGCAGGGGGTCTCCTTGTGCTCCAGACGAAGAGACCCCAGAGTGACAGCAGGGGGAGTCGTTGACCCCTGGACTTGCGGTGAGTGCTGGGGGCGCGGGGACGGTGCTGGGCTCCCCAGCAGGTGAGGATGTGAATGGAGAGGTGGGCAGAATCCCCCAGGCTCGCTCCTCCTGACTTGACACCCGTGTCGTGAGTTCTGGCCTCGTGATTCCTGTGGGCACTGTGGCATCTAGGACGACGGGTCAAAGGGAGACACTCGCCGCGTTCGCCGTGGCTGTGTGGTCCGGGGCAGCTCACTACCTGCTTTGTTCCTGAATTCCCTCATCTGTAAAGTGGGCAGTGTCCCCTCCCCAGGGCGACCCGAAGGATGAAATGGAGAAACCTAGTCTGATGACGTGGCCCCGTGGGGCGTCGACTAGTGTTTGTGGCCTCTTTGCTGTGTCCCCGCCACAGCCACGTGAGACCTGGACTGGGCGGCCTGGTCGTGGTCTCGTCAATGCCCCGGCTATCCATGCTGCTGTGAATCTTCCCTTCTGAGAGACCAGAGGGTGAGGTGCGCTTAGAGCACAGTCTTGTCCTGACGGGCGAGGACGGGAAGCCTCCCACAGGGCCGCGCACACTCAGCCCGCACCCCTCGCTGAGCCCCGCGTGCCCTTCCGCCTGCCTGCCCGCTGCCGCTGCCGCCCGCAAGGGGCCACGGGTCCGCCTACCCAGCGCGTAGAGCGCGATCCTGCCTGTGTGCTGGGAGAGCCTTCCGTACAGCAGGGAGCACAGTGCGTTGGTGGCCGAGAAGCAGATCATCACATACCCGACAAACTGGATCCCGAGGGCGCAGGTGGTGTAGGACTGCGGGGGAAGCACAGGGCACATTACGTGGCCGCGCGGGGTGCGGTGGTGGGTCTGGGTCAGGGATGCGGGTGGTGCTGGCACGAGTTCTGCCGTGGGACAGCGGCCGTGCTGGGTTGGCCCGGACCTTCATCTAGGCCTCGAGGCGGCCAGGGGAGGACAACATGCCCAAACCGGGTGGGAACGAGCGAGGACGGGCCCTGCACCCGGTCGTCCCCACACATCCTTCACCGTGTGTTGCGGAGGTCCTGTGAGCTGCGTGAGGATCTGGGCAGCTCTGGCTCCATTCACCGCGCACTGACAGAGCTGGGCAGGACGAACGGGGGGAGCACAGAGGACTCTCGGGGCAGCAGAGCCTCCCCGTGTGACACCGTGATGGTGGACACGTGTCCTTACGCACGTGTCCATACCCAGGGAACGCAAGCACCAGGAGTGACCCCTGACGTGGGCGATGAAGATGCATCATGGCAGGTTCACGGGTGGGAACAAATGTCCCCTCTGGGGCAGGACACTGATAGTGGGGAGGCTAGGCCTGTCTGGGGCCGGCAACGTGGGGCCCTCGGCTCCTTCTGTCCACCGTGCTGGGCCCCAGAAACAGCTCCGCAAATAAAATTCCGATAGAAAAGCAGCAGATGTGAAGGAAACGAAGGGACTCTCTGTGCAGACAGGAGGAAGGGAGTGTTCCTGCACCCGACGGCCTGGGTACTGAGCGACCCCGGCATGGACCCGGGACAGCCCGTGCCGCCACTGTCCCCAGGCAGAATCAGGACAGACGCACAAATGAGTGGGCTGGACAGAAGCTCTGCTGCTTTGGGACGGTGGGGGCCGTGGCTGAGTCACATGCCACGTGGCCAACAGCAAGGCCCACGGGAGGACTTTGGCCAAGTGCTAAAGGACTGTTCTGTCATTTTTGTCCTCAGTCTTTGGAACTCCAAGACTCTCCATCAAGACTGTCCCTGGAGCAGGGGGTGCCAGAGAGAACCCAGGACACACGCATCCTGCACAGGGTGTATGTGTCCTGAAAGAGCTGGGTTCACCAGAAATTCGGATTTAACTGGGCATCTGGCTAGCTTGGCACATTGGCTCGTCTACCTGGGAGCAAACTGCAATGGGCACGAAGCAAGAGAAGTTTTCTGGTCAAGGAAAGGCAACCCTCAAAGAGCGGCCTTGCTCCCGGCTCTCGGCCCCTCAGCTCCCCAGCCCCAACCAGCACTTTCAGAAGAAGGTGTCTCTGTTCTCTACTACCCCCATCTGAGGCATCCCTCCCAGGGCACCCCATGACCATCTTCAGGACAGGACACCACACGGTGGGGAGCCCCGGGGGACAGGTGTCTCTGCTGGCTTGCCCCTGAAGAGGCCTTCCCTGTGCACACAGTGGGCAGGCCGGCATGGCACAAGGACATGCTCTACGTGATGGCTCCCGGAGCGCTTGGGCCCTTGCCCTGAAGACACATCTCCAGTGATAGCCAGTCCCCGGAGTCAAGGCCAAGCTCTAGGGGGAACGGGGAAGAGACTGGACGCTGAGCTTCTAAACCCTGAACCTGCTCTCCGGCCCCAGAGGCTGCGCCCCCCACTTGGCCCACGGGCAGGGGGCCCTGAGACACGCGGGTGCTGGGGTGCGCATCCTGATGGGCTCCTACGTACCCTGGTGTAGTCGCCCGCGAGGAAGGCTTGCTCGAACCCGCTGTACACCGGCAGCAGCACCAGCAGACGAAGGCGCTTGTCTCGAAGAAGCCTGAAGGTCGACAGGAGGGTGAACCAAAAAGGTAATTTCTTCTCTCCTTTGCCTTCCTGCTGAGCGTCCTTGATGGGTTCGAGGAACACGGCTATGAGCAGGACCGCCAGGACGCCGCTGCCTGGAGGGGACACAGAGGGCAGGTCTGGGGCGCTCTCAGGAGCCGGGGTCTCCCGGTCGCTCCTTCTCTCTCCTTTGGGGCATCGGGTTCAGATCCTGGTTTGAGGGAAACGAGGCTGCCCAGCCTGAGCAGGGCCTCTGGCCTGCGCCGCACACCCCACGAGGCCGGGGTCCTCTGCGGCCCTCACCGCCACGGTTCCCCTCGTCCGCACCCGCAGGCGGCTCCCAGCGACGGACAGTCCCCCTTCTCGGGACCGCGGGTCCTCCGCGGCTATTGTTTGCCGAGCGTGACGGTCACCCACAGGCCTCAGGCGGGGAACTGCGACCCGAGCGCCGGGGGTGCCACACACATGCCGACGATAGGAGGTGCCTCATTTACCCGCTGCGGTGGGGTATCTGCGTGGGGGGCAGCTGGGCGAGACCGATCCACCGTGCAGGGCCGCTGAGTTCAGAGAGGAAGGGCGTGACGTGGCGGTCACACCTGCCACTCGTGTCCAGGAACTACCGGCCACAGGGGTGGTCTGCGGGGGGAGTAGCGAGGAGGAGGGACGGGGGGCTTTCCCTCTCACCGTGGCGCGTTCTGAACCACGTGAGTGGGCTGACAGCTGTCCGCCCCAGAGGGACACCTGCGCCCACCTAATCCCACAGACGTGACGGCCCCTCTTTCTGCACCACGCACCCCGGTGTTAAGTGGATCGAGGGCTGGTGTTTCTTCCTTTCCCTCTTTGCCCTGAAGTCTCCTCAGTCCTTCCTGGCTTTGTGACACCTGTGTGCCTGTCCCGGGTTTCTCCTCTCCCCCACACCAATGGCACTCAGTGCCCGGGGAGCTGAGGGTTCTTCCAAGAGCCGATGCCTTCCTCGTTTCCCTGAAAGGCAGTGAAAACCCTTCGGAACGAGTTTCAGCCACGATTTCCAGTCTAATAGCTTAGACCCGTCAGCCTCTAAAGGTGACCTGAATTATTTTTTTCTCTTTGCTTCATCTCACCAGCCTGATGTGGCACTGTGAGTCCTGCCACGACGTGCTGGCTGGGCGCTCCCAAGCCCGCCGCGCTTACAGACCAGCCCTCTCCGGAGGTGTGGGCAGAGCCGGTGGAGGCGCACAGAGGAGGGGAATGTCGCACAGGGGCTGGGGTGCAGAGAGCACGTTCCTGTGGCCGGGGCTGGTCCTCGAGACCTACTGTCCTCGTCCCTGTGACTTTGGAACAGGTTTTCTAACTTGGTTAACAAAACCACAGATAAACACCTGTGGCTACTGGCTACTGTATTGAACTTTGCAAAAGAAAAACGATCCTATCGTGGTAGGGAACTGTTAGACCGCCCTGTTCCGCTGTCTTTGATTCCATCTGAAGAACACCGGATGACCCAGCTGAACTCGTTTTGCAGGAATATTTGCACTTTGGGAAGACACTCGTTCCGCAGGGACTCCACCCGCGGTGAGCACGTACCTGTGTAGATACCAAGCAGCGTGTAGATGAGGGTCTGCGAGGGACGCTGCGTGCTGTTGGTGGACGCCGTGGCCATCAGGCAGTCACTGGCCCCACAGAACAGGAGCTGCTCCTCGGGGATGGCCTCTGTGCCATCGGAAGCAAAAAGGTGACGTGAGAACACAGGGAACCGATAGGACAAGGGGCCCGAGTAAAGAAGCACAGAGCTAACAGGAGCCCGGACACCCCGTAGCCGAGAGTCACGATAGGTCAAAGTCAGGGGCTTGTCTGACCATGTACCTCCAAACACGCTTGCTTCCGGGCACACATCTGTGTGTGTGATTTTACACAGACACATGTGCCATAAAGGCTGCCTGCTTGTGTGACTTTCTGCACATAATGAAAATGCTCAACGTTTCCAACCTAACCAAGAAGGAGTAGGTACATTGACGTGAGAGCAGGTGTTGGACGGAACTGCTGGGCCTGTCTGAGATTCCTCAGTAGCCATTCCGTGACCTTGGGCAGGTCGATGCCCGCCTCTTCTGAGTGTTACATTTCCTATCTGCTAGAAGAACAAAAGGTGCACCTTCCGCGAGTCTCTGACCCCATCAGAGTCTCTGGAGAGAGCAGGGAGACGCCGTGCAAGAAAGAACATTTGTCATAGCAGAAATTTCCTCACATAGAACTTGGCTGCTGAGATCCGCAGCACGGAGACTGAGCGGGGGTGGGAGGGAGGCTGAGAAGCCTCAGGGGGATCTGGGGATGCCTCACTCCTTGGAGTCTGGGTCCGGAGACCCCTTGGAGAATGAAGCTCGCTTGTCTGGTGTCTTTAAAAGTAAAGATGTTCACTCCATTTTGTACCAGTCACGTGTTAGAGACTGGAGCTTAATCCCAGTTCCTGTTAGGGTCTGTCAAGGTCAGCAATGAGTAAAGGCGGGCCTCCATCCACCTGAGGGCCCTTCTTCCGACGCACTTAGCAACTGATAACATCGCGTGAGAAGCAGGAGGAGGATTTTGGAGTTTTGCGAAGGTGGGACTTTATAGGGGATGGCAGGGTGGAGGGCCAGGACAGAGATAGGCGTAGTCCCGATAAGAGTCAGGAGTCAGGACTGACCCTCACCCCAACCCATGAATTAGGTTTGTGGGTGAGAATTGGTGACATTTATTTCCTCTGCCCTCGGTTTAAATCCTCAGACATCAAAGGGTGCGGACATTAAACAAATACACGTGTTATAGTCATGTCCGGCCAAGGTCAGGTCAAGACGTGAGTTAAGTCATCAGCCGTCAAATGTTGAATCAGTCAAGAGACAACTGGTCTTAGTGGGACATTTGAGACACTGGACAGTGGAGCGGTTTAGTGGGACAGTAAATCAGTTGAGCCTGTTCTTGGTCTGAAAGGACGGTGATGACTCCGTGAACCCAAGTTCCACTGGCAGTGGCCTCCATTTCCCCCGGGCACTGTTCTGCAAGCGTTCCCCCTGCCTCCGGGAGGGCAGGGCCAGCAAGGCTGGAGAATTTGTGGACAAGACCGACCCCCAGAGCTGCACAGACTGTCCTGGAGAAGAGCTGGGCACAGGAGAGGCTGGGGCCCAGGCGGTCGAGAACCATGTCAGGCGGTGCACCTGCCCTTGTCGTGGAATAAAGACGCGTGTGAGCGGGATGGGGGGCCCTCTCAGGGGCCATCACTGAGCCCCGTGCCCTTTTACCTTGCGTGGGCGTCTGGCCAAACACCAGGGAGGAGATCAGGTTGCCCCACACGCCGGACGACTGGAATATGAGAAAGAAGATGCCGAAATACTGGTTCACCACGTCTCGGCCAACTTTTCCCACCTTCTCTGCTTGCGTGTTTCCCATGATGGTGAGGTACGTGCACTGGGCGGACCACAGTGGGGCTGCTCCGAGACCCAGCACTATGGAGGTGGGAATCAAGGTGTACCTGCGAGATAAAAGGCAGACAGTGTCCCTTCCTCCTCCGTTCTCCCCTGCCTCTGTGGAGAAGGAGACTCCATGCCTCGTCCTCACTAAGCTTTACCATGCTTGTGGATTAGCCAGATCAATGGGTTCCCCATCCATCGCCCGCAGAGAAATGACCAGACCCACTGCTCTTTCTGGTTCAGGTTCATTTGCAAGAGAGAAATTCACTGCCAGGGAACTTCCTTGCGTTTGAAAGCAACTACCAATGAGCTGGTACAAGTAAGGCTGAGTCTCTAACAGCTAATGTCGAAAATGACTGATTTTTTGAATCCCTGACTGGCTGGTTGGCTGGTTTACCCTCTTCACTGAAGGCTCCATATGGAACCACTACAGCAGGATGAAAGAGAAGACTGTGAAGTCACTGGAATCGTCATGTCCTAGATGACAGTGGCCATCTCTCCGAAGAGATGCTTGACGGGTGTGTTCTTGGGAATAAGCGCGTGGGGCCAGTGCTCGTAGAGCTTGGTCCCGGAGGACCCCCTCCATCAGGGAGTAGGCGGAGCCCAGGCTGGGCCCCTGCACCAACTGCAGCCCTGCTGCGTCCACTTTCTGTGTTGCGGGGAGGGTATGGTTTGGGTCCACCGGTCACATTCTGCTAAATCCCCCGAAATTCACCCTGAACGCCAGGGACCAGTTCTCATCGCTGGGGACACAGAAGTGCCCTGGTGCAGGGAGGGGAGCTCTAGGCCCACAACAGACCTGAGGGAAGGTCAGGGCTGGGAACTGGGGGGAGAAGATGGGCCCGACCAAAGGGACAGAGACATCGAAAAAAATGGGAAGAAAGCCTCCACGTTATCCTGTCCAGAAGCAGAGAGGAAAGTCAGGAAGTGGCGCTCATGTTACAGGGGAGGCAACGGGGCATCCTCGGGCAGGTGCCAGCTGAGGGCTCGCGAGCAGCTGACCCTGAAGCCTGACCCAGGAGCCGGGTGGGAGGCGTGCGGGAGGCGTGCGGGCTGTACCAGCTGGCGTAGAAGTTGCCCAGGGAGAAGGCCACGTAGCAGCACATGGAGAGGACGATGGTCCACTTGCAGCCAAACTTCTTAATCAGGAGCGGCGGGAGGAACATGGAGGACAGGAGCACCCCGCCGTACAGCGTGCTGAGTGCCGTCACGCCCAGGCCTTCCTCGCTGTATAGGCTGCTCTGCGGGGGACAAAACCACCCTGGTCAGAGGGGCCGGCAGCCAAAGGAAAGAGCGCTGGGTCAGCACTGGGTTCCTGAGACCACCAGCAACAGGCTTTCCCTGGCCGGCGGCCCCTCCCAGCTGACAGGTACGGCGCTGGGGGAGCCAGCACAGTCCCAACTCTCTGTTGGGCAGGGGGAAAGCCCAGGGCCCACAGTGCTGGGGTTGTGGTGCGGCAGAGGGCCTCACACCTTCTGTGACATCTGCTTTATCTGTAGGACAGCTTTGCACGCCTCCCCTTTTAGGCTGAGAAATGGGTGCTGTTTTCCCCATGGGAGAGATAAGGAAGGGGACGTTGTCTCCTTGTAGCCTCATATGTGCGGCTAGACAGGCGGACTTTCACGTTCCTTCCTAGCTGCTGTGCCACCCCCCACCCCTGACATGACAATGTTCTGCGACAAGGGACCCTGCACTGGGCAGGTGCAGCCCCCGGCACTCCCTCACTGTCATTCCGTTCACTGTGGACCCGCACCCTTGGGCTGAGCTCTGACTCGGCCCAGCACCCACCACTCCGAGGTTCTCTCTTCTCCCTCGCTTCCTTTCCGGCCCCACCCCTCAACGTGTAGGACCTTCCTTGTTCTCACTTTCCAAAGGGCTCCCATTCTTCAAGGGCAGATCAAGGGTCTCCAAGGGCCCCTGAATAGCGCCATCCGCAGAGACCTCCACGTCGATCCTGCGCTGGAATGTCACCTGACCTCTAGCCCACACCACCTGGTGACCCGCGATGTCACCCCCGCTGACAATGATCCCTGAACACGGGAAATGTTCTGCTCTTTCTGGATCTCTCCCGATGCCTTGCTCAAAGCAGGGACATAATGGTATTTGTGGATTAACTGGAACTGAGCATAACCACAGCAGGTGCCACGAAAATTCTGAAATCTGGCTGGAAGATGGAAATTGAGCGCTTTGCTCTGAAGTGGGGGTTATCTGAAAATTCCCGCTTGTGTGGAGTCGGGGAGATGGCTCAGCCTGAGCCTTTTGCTTCCTTAATACAAATGTAGGAAATCCAGTGCTACTGAGCTCGGCTCCCCGCACGCTCGTGAGAAGGAAGCACGCAGCCTTTCTGTGCCCTGGAATTTCTCGTCCGCACACTCTGCTGCTGCAATCCGCAAAGGTATCTTGGTCACGAACAGTCAAATCTGACTGCAAACCACTGAAAAGGAAGACATATTTCAGTAGCCAAAGTGGGAATCAAATTTTAAAAGCAACCTTCTTTTCTATGTGAATGCCGGTGTTGAGATCCCTGTGTCTGCAAATGTCAGCAGAGCAGGGCGTGCAGAACAATCCAGAATACTGTGGGAGGATGGGTATGTGTGCCTGTGAGATCTGCATTAGGCAAGACCCACTCGCATGAGCAAGTAGGACGTTCACTCAAGTCACCCAGCAAATACATCCTTAAGCACTTGCCAGGAGAGGCCCTGTGCCCTGCTCTAGTGAAACCAAAGGGAATTACAGCAGCCCCGCCCTTCCAGGAGTGGACCCGAGCTGCCGGGGGTCAGGGACACCAGCAAACAGACCATTGCAATCGGGCCCTAGTCCTGCAAGGGGCGCTAGCCCAGGGCAGCCGGAAGACCGTCGAGAAGGCGTGAAGACCGTACGGGGATCGGGAGGACGAGCGGGTAATGGGAGGAGGGGAGGGGGTGCGGGAGGCAGGAATTGCGGGAGAGGAGCTGCCTGGGGCTCGTCCCAGGCTGAGAGGCAGCAGGGAACATCGTGCTGCTTTATCCAGAGCCGTGAAGCTCCTCTGGGGAGACGAGGCCGGGAAGCCTACCGGGCTGCCGAGGGAGGGGTGCCGGCTCCGGCCGGGGGAAGGGGTCGGATCTTCAAGCCCACGGAGAGCCTGGGGCAGGAGGAGCCTCTCTCCAGGAGAAGCTGGAGATTAGATGCAGCGCTGCCTTCAGGCCCTGGGTTAGCCATCGACTGCCTCCTGTGTGTCGAGCACTGTCTCAGTCAGGGGGACAAGGTCGTGGAGCAGTGACCGTCCTTCCAGCGTCGCGGAATCACGGGCATACTGCGGGGCCTGCCACAGCATCGGGGGAACACACACAGGTGTGCCCCTTCCAGAGTTCAGTCCCAGGGAGCAGGGAAAGGGGCGAAGGGGGTGACATCCAAGGGGAGAGCCCAGTGACTTGCAGGTGACCATTAGCCACAGGAGGGAGAGGGCACAGCTGCTACAGGGGGAGGCTGTATAGGTGTGCGCCTGGGTCCTGGCGGGAGTTCGGATCGGGGATGTCTGGGACCTGTGGGGATGCCTGGGACCATCTGTGCCACCCCTGGAGGCCTAAGAATGAACTTGACCAGATGAGAGCCAAAGGAAATGACAGGGACAGGCAGGAGCCTCCAACATCGTGGGGACGCAGCCATGCCTAAGGTCACATCTGTCCGTGTCATCTCATTCCCTCACCAGTAGGCCACTCCAGACTGGTGGAGACAATGGTCCCCGTTAAACCACGGTTACGTATTCAAGATCAGCACGCAAGGAAATATGGTGGGTTAGGGCTGGGATAGAAGGCAGAGAGGTGGGCAGGGCGGACTGCCCCACGCTAGAGCTGGAGGTCTGGTCCCCTAACATCTCTGCTCTTCCCAGGAAGAGGGGGTCTCCTCAGCACTGACCGTGATCACGGGCAGACCGGGGAGGACTTGGGTGTGCGGGGAACGGGGCCATCTGCTCTCCCTGAACTGCGGCCACTGTGCCAACTACACTTCAAAAAAACAAGACAAAACAAAACAAAACACCTATTTGGGGAAACATACAGCAAAACTACTCCCGGCACACACGGCCCCTGCCACAGCTGTTAGAGAGGCTCGAGGGAGAAAGACTGCTGTGGGGGACAGACTTACAGAGACGAATTTGTCCAAACTTTGTCCAAATTCACCATATTGCCTAACCAGGCTTAGAATCTAGAGTTTAGTGAAACCTGAAAAATTCCCATTACTACCCCAGCCACAAAGCCAAAGTTGTGAAACCATAGAATTCACCAAGACTCAACCTGTGTCTCTCCCTTTAACTATCCAAAGGCAAAGAATATCTTATCTCAACACTAACCCAAGACCCACACCCCAGTCCAAGGGTCAAGCGCACACTCCCTGACCTGCACACTCCCCGCCCTGTGGTCCTGCCGGGGTTGGGGAGGGGGCCGTGCTCGCTCGCGCGTGGGAACCGCCGCGGGAGAGGGAGTGGGAGCGAGGGGGTGCAGGAGAAATGCTCGGTTCCCGTCTTCCGCGGCCGTGGGGCTTCTTGGAGGCCAAGAGACAGACGCTCGCTCGCAAGTGTCCTCGCAAGCGTCCTTACCTGTAGGCTCTGCAGGCCTCCGTAGGCTGTGAAGAGAAGCAGAAACCCGAAAGACACCACGAGGACATTCCTCAGGCTTCTTTCCATCGTGCGGATTCACAGTGACAACCATCCGTGGGCACGCACACGCGTCGTCCCTGAAAGACACCGGCCGGAGAGCAGGGACGCCGTCTGTACCAGAAGCCCCGTTCCCTCTCTCTGTCCTCTGAGCGAGGCGTGCAGGTCAGCGAGGTCCTGGTGAGTCAATGGACTTAGTTATTGCAGAGGCCGGGGAGCGCCGTGGGGGGTGTTAGTCACTCATCATCTCTGTGAGCTGCAATAACCACTTCTTAGCAGCGCAGAGGTTAGGGCGCTCACTGCCCGTGCGCACCTGCAGTCCCTCCTAATTTCTAGACCGAGTCCTTACAGTAACAGAACGACTGTCGTGTGAGAGTGTGTGTGTGTGTGTGATGGTACCTTCCGCATTAAAAGAAACCATCAGAATATGGATGTGTTTCAGTCATAAAGAACGAAATACGAGTGTGGGCTTCGAGATACACGGCTCCGTTTCTGAGAAAGACTTAAGGTGATCGTGAGCCCCGAGCGGCCCAGTCCGGCTGTGTCAGACTCTACGTGATTTCACCGCACTGCCAGAATGAAAGGAACAAGAGCACGACACCTCCTGAGCATAGAGTCTTACAGTTTGCAAAGGACCTTACATGTGTCCTTTTATGTTGTCCCAAGGGCAAGCTGTGGCGGTTGTCACTGGGACTCCCAGACGTGACCAGGTGGAGAGCTGAGCTTCTGAACAGGTCACAGATTTGGGTTTTGGAAACGAGGCGCGCTGTGCAGGAGAACTTTCTGCACTGGCCAGGGCAGCCACAGGCTTCATGTGGCCACTGAGCCCTTGAAACATGGCTAGTGCAACTGAGGGGCTGAACTCATGGTTGCACTTAAGTTTAATTAATTTAAATTTAAATAGTGACCTGTCGCCGTGTCTGCCACCCTGGGCATCACCCATCTGATTTCAAACAACGTAACCCAGGGGCTCCTGGGTGGCTCAGTGGGTTGGGCCTCTGCCTTCGGCTCAGGTCATGATCTCAGGGTCCTGGGATCCGGCCCCGCCTCGGGCTCTCTGCTCAGCGGGGAGCCTGCTTCCTCCTCTCTCTCTCTCTCTCCCTGCCTCTCTGCCTACTTGTGGTCTCTGTCAAATAAATAAATAAAATCTAAAAAAACAAAACAAAACAAAAAAAAACAACGTAACCCATATCTCACAGCTAAGAAGCAAAATCATCTTTCATCCAATTGTCCATTCAACTGTTAGTTCAATCAGTTGTTCTTGAACTTGATGTTTGTAGCCCGACTCCAAAGTGCTGTGAAATCAGCCGTTTTTATTTAGTTTGGGTTGATAAGAAAAGCCTTACGGTATTGGCAGACCTAACACAGTTAGGTTCCTGGCAACACCGTCCATGCGAGCGTGCCGTTCCGTTCAAAGACCACGATGGAGCCCTTGCAGCGTAATTTACTCTTGTGAAAATAACACTTTTAGGAAAATAAGGGTTTTACACACAGACAAAACGTGGATTGCCACGCTCAATACAGACGTGCAGGGAGCCTCGTCCAGTAAAAGACACTAACATGTAAACAGAAGGGACCTGTGGGTTCAAATCCCAACCCCGTCACTTCTCTGCCCGAGAGTCTCACGGGAATCACTCCACTTTCCAAACCCACTTTCCTCTTGGAAAAGGAGAGTTGCGAAAGTTCAGAAAGCTAATAACTGTGAAAGCCCCTGAATAGCCATCGCGCATCGTCATCACCAGGAAGTGTTAATGGGCTGGTATGACATTCTCGCTTCCAGAGAAAATACCACTCGGGACAGTTTTTTAAAGAATCTAATACCTAGCACAACACGCACTTTTCCACACCAGTCTTACTGTTTAATGCACTCTGGCTTCTTTCTTATTTTCGGCAATGTTCTAGCTTGCTCAGTTCTGGCCTGTAACTACTCACAGTGACTTTCACTCTGATCTTCGAAGACGCAGCTGAGGTTTCTTCCGTTGCCCACTGTTCAAACATGCCAGGACCACCTTCTGCGATTTGCTCACTGACTCCGGGAGCAGCTCCGGGAGCTACCGTTCTAGCTCCGTGCTAACGCCGTGAAGCTTCTGTCTCCTCCTGTCTTTGCAAGCCGTGTCCGTCCCTGTCCCTCTAGCTGTCCTTCTGGTAGTCAGGAGTTCACATGGAAATTACTGCTTTTATCCTATCTGCTCCCACTTTCCCTCCCACTTCTTTCCTTTTATCCCTCATAATAGTGACTTTTTAAATGAACCGTATTTTATAGTCTGCCCTCGCTCTCTAGCAGAACAAAATGCTCCCCTGCCCACTCTTAATGGGAAATCATTCCCATACATCACCGTATAAGTTTGAGGCGTGCAGGACGGTGGTCTGATCTACCTCCATTGTAAAATAATTAGCACAATAGGCTTGGCTACCGACCACCTTCTCATATAGATACAGTAAAAAGAAAAGAAAGGAAAGAGAGAAAAAAAAAACATTTTCTTGTGATGAATTCTAAGGATTTAAAAACTTCCCTGTATTTCCCAGACATGCACACAGCGGCGTCAGCTGTACTGGTCACGCTCTACCTCCTGTCTCCAGTAATTATTAATCTTGAAACACAAGTTTGTACCTTTTGACCACCTCCTCCATTTTCCCATCACCCTCTGTCTCTGGTAACCACAAGTTCCATTTTTTTTCCTATGAGTTCGGTTTTTAAGTTTTTTAATTTTTTAATTTTTTTTAAGATTCTACATGTACGAGAGATCATACAGTACGTGTCTTCCTTTGTCTTATTTCACTAATCATAATGCCTTCGGAGTCCACCGTGTTGTCACAAGTGATACAAGTTCCATGTTTTTTACGGCTGAAAAATGTTCCGTTGTATCTCCGTACACAGATTACCTGTCCATTCATTGAATGTCCATTCATTCATTAACGGCCACTTGTCTTGGCTGTTGTAAGTAATGCTGCTATGAACACGGGGGTGCAGGTGTATTTTTGAGTTGGTGTTTTCGTTTTCTTTGGATACACACCCAGAAGTGAGATTGCTAGATCATATTGTAGTTCTACTTTAACTTTTTGAGGAACCTGCATGCCATGTTTCACAGTGGCTACACCGATTTACATTCCTACCAATAGTGCATAGGGATCCTTTTCTCGACATACTTGCCAGCTTTCGTTAACTCTTGTCTTTTTCGATGGTGACCATTCTAACAGGTGTAAGGTGGTATCTCATTGTGGTTTTGATTTACATTTTCCTGATGATTCGAGATATTATTCATTTTTTTCAGGTACCTGTTGGCTTTTGGTGTATCTTCTTTGGAGAAATGGCTATTCAGGTCCTTTGCCCATTTTTAAATTCTTTTTTGTTTGTTTTTGCTTTGTTTGTTTTTGCTATTGATTTGTATGCCTTCTTTATATATATTGGATATTAATCCCTTATCAGATTATGGTTTGCAAATATTTTTCCCCTTCTATAGGTTTTCTTTTCACTTTGTTGATGGTTTTTTTTCTGTACAGAGCTTTTTAGTTTGATGTAGTCCTGCTCATTTACTTTTGATTTTGTTGCTTGTGCTGTAGGCGTCACACCCAGACATCACCGCCAAGACTCATGTCAAGCAGCTTTATTACTGTGTTTTCTTCCAGGAGTCTCATGGTGGCAGGTCTTATATTTAAGTCTTTAATCGATTTCGAGTTCATTTTTGTCTGTAGAATATATATGGGCCCAGTTTCATTCTTTTACATGTGACTATCCAAGTATCCTAGCACCGTATATTGAAAAGACTGTCTTCTCTCCATTGAGTATTCTTGGCTCCCTTATCAAACATTAGTTAACTTTATAATGCTTGGGTTTATTTCTGGACTCTCACTTCTGTTCCATTGGTCTATTCTGGTTTTTATGCCGGTACCATACTCTTTTGATGACTACTGTTTTATAGTATAGCATGAAATGAGGAAGTGTGATGCCTTTTGCTTCATTCTTAGGATTTCTTTGGCTTTTGGGTGTCTTTTGTGGTTCCATATACATTTTAAGAGATTTTTTTTTCCTACTTCTGTAAAAAATGCCTTTGGAATCTTGATAGGGATTGCCTTAAATCTATACATGGCTTATAGTAGTACTGACATTTATACAATATTAATTCTTCCAATCCATGAACATGGGACACTTTTCCATTTAATTGTGTCTTCTTTGATGTATTTCATCAATGTCTTGTAGTTTTCAGAGTACAGATCTTTCGCCTCCTTAAACTTATTCCTAAACATTTTATTGTTTTTGATGGTATTGTAAGTGGGATCAATTTCAATTATTTCCTTCTCTGAGAACTTGTTGGTGTATTGAAATGCCACTTATTTTCATATGTTGATTTTGTATCCTGAAACTTCACTGAATTCATTGATCAGATCTAATGATTTCTTGGTTGAATCTTTAGGATTTTCTGGATATAAGATAATGCCATTTGAAAATAGAAAAAATTTTACTTCTTCCTTTTTAATTCTGACCTTTTATTTCTTTTTCTTGCCTGATTGCTTTGGCTAGGACTTCTAGTACATTGTTGAATGGAAGCAGTGAGGTGTGCACCATTCTCTTCTTCCTGATCATGGAGGAAAATTTTCAACCTTTCACCACTGAGCATGATATTAGTTATGGGCTCATCATATATGGTCTTTATTATGTTGAGATATGTATTTTCTATGCCTAATTTGCTAAGAGCTTTTATTGAGAATAAATGTTGAATTTTGTCAAATGCTTCTTCTGCTTCTATTGAAATGATTATGATTCTTTTCTTTCATCCTGTTAATGTGATGTATCATAATGATTCATTTATATATGTCAAACTATCCATCCTCATATTCCAAATGGTAAATCCTATTTGTTCATGGTGAACGGTCCTTTTAATGTGTGGCTGAATTTGGTTTGTTAGTATTTTGTGGAAAATTTTTGCATTGATCAATTCATCAGGGATATTGGCCTGTAGTTTTTTTGTTTGTTTGTTTTGTTTGTTTGGTAGCATTCTTTTTTGAATTTGGTATCAAGATAATGCTGACCT